CTCTCTCTCTCTCTCTCTTTCGCTCTCTCTCACTCTCTCTCTCTCTCTCTCTCTCTCTCTCTCTCTCTCTCGACCAACATACCTCGCCGTGACTTCCTATCGTCATCTTCCATCTTCGTTCACTCTGCTCCGGCATCATCTTGCTATACCACCGCAATCCAATTTTAGCAATATAGTCGGGCGTTTGATCAAAGGTAAGGAAGAGAAGAAGAGGGAAGAGAGGTGGGAGTAGACAAAGCAACACGTAGGAGAGAAAGGTGGTGATGAGGAGGAGGGCGGCTAAGGTGCAACAAGGAAGCCGACACTCTAATCGTGACAGGGAGACGGCGAGAAGGGACAATAGCCTACCTGTAGTCGAAGGAGAGGGAGAGAGAAGAAATAGGGATGGGAGGGAGAGGGCAACAAGAGAACAAGAGCAGTCGAAGGAGAGGCGAAAGAGGAGGACTCGGTAGAAAGGAAGTCGGAGGTGAGAGACGTGGTGAGGAGGACATAGTCGGCGATGGTGCAACAACGGTGACACCAACAAAAAAAATGCACACCTGACGAAAAGGACAGAACGGCCGCAGCTCGACTGGCTGGCAAACGGATGACGATGTGCAAAATTTTTGGAGATACCAGCACCACGTGACTGCCATTTTTTCAGCCACGTGTCTGACGACGACGATAAGGCGGGAAAAGAAGAAGGATCCTTTTGCGGGGGAGTTGGGATCTCAGTTGGTACACCTCGTGGACTGTTGAAATGCAGACCCGTGTTCGAACAACTCCGCTGGAAACAGACGAGTGAAAATATTACGATCTAAAAAAAAAAAAAAAAAACTACGATTCTAAAATATAACCTAGGGCGCATCAAATCATCAGTTCGATGGTGATTTTTTTTATTTTTTTTTCTTGTTTTTTCTGGTACGGTGGTGGTGATATCTCAAGGGTGTCGCCCTCTTTAACAGAAAAAGGAGGAAGTTACCGCTTACCAGTAGTAGAATGACTGCTACGTCAGCCACGTGTGATCACGATAACCAAAAAAAAGGCGGGCAAGGAAGAAAAAAAACGCCAGACGGAGATGAGGTGGGCGGGCGGGCGACGTGGGAATTGGGAGGGAGTTTACCGGTGGTAGATTGAATTCTGCTTCAGCCCACATGTCCGGAGAAGACGACTGGGCGCCACAGGTGAACCCGCCAGCCGCGAGCATCCGCCACCATAGCACCAGCGACAGCGATGACGAAACCCCCACCGTTCTGCCCTGCACCGCCCAAGGCAGCAATTGCGTGGTCTTTCTGAAAAAACGTCACCCCGCAGCAATTGCGCGGTCTTCCGAAAAAACGTCACGTCGAAACAGCACAAGCCACCGCGCTGCGGACAAGTCCCCCGCCGACCCCAGCCACCGCCCAAAACTGCCACATCAGCAACGGCAACAAACATGAAACGTCTACGCGACGAGGATAAATTGGTTGGCAGCCTGGCAGCCGCACATGCCGCGCATCATCATCGGATACGGCAGGGCGACACTCCTGGGAGAAGAGAGGAAAAAAAAGAGAAGGGAAAGAAAAAAGGAAAAAAAAAGGGCGATACCAAATCCTTCGGGCAAGAGCAGAATTTCTTGTAAAAAAAAATAAAAAAAAATCCCTCGGGCAACGAAACAACGTGGCGCACAAAAAAAAAAAAAGACAAAAAAAAACAACGTGGTGCACCAACAGGCTCTCGGCAACGAAACAACGTGACGCACCACCAACAGGCTCAGGCAGTACTCACACTAGCTGTATCTCAAATGTATCCGACCGCATTTATGCGGCCGTGGATGCATCTGAATGTAAATACGTCCATAAGTAAGTAAAAAAGTCCTAGTGCGAGTATGCCCTCAGTTGGTACGCCCCTGAGCTGTTGAATAGAGACTCAAGCTCGAATCCAGACAGTATCAGATGAAAAAAGAATACATCGTTCTGAATTGCATGGCGCCAGGCCTCACTACTGTAGCATGGGAAAAAGAGATATAGGCCGTCGATCTGCGTTATGTACGGCCAGTATCTCTTAATCTGTGCAAGTGGGACCTTGCCCCTGCGGCCGGTCGGTTTAATGATGATTGATGAAGGCCTTCGCCCCTTTCACCCCCCCCAAAAAAAGACAACGTGGTGCACCTGGGCCGTGCTGGGACAACGCTGGTCAGAGCTGGGGTGAGTCGTGTTGCCCTGTAACCCAGCAGGGTGGGAGTGCGAGGCCTGGAAGAGCCGGGCAGGGAGTAAGACAGTGCTGGAGAGCTTTAGAAGGGTTGCTAGGGATCCATAGGGTTTTGAGCATTTGTAGGACCTCGTGGCCAGACCTTTTTTCTGAAGTTTGTCGTAGTAATTTTCTAAGTCGTTCAAAATTTTCTTAGCCAAAGCGGGGTAATGGCCCTGGTATCTCAAACTTAAAAAAAAAAAAAAAAAAAAAAGGGCCATAGCCTGTAGGTGTATCTGTTCTGATATCTTTTTTTCTTTAGAAAGCTATGTTCTTCTCTGAATTTCACCTCGCACTACCACTACTACTAATTGTAATAGGGCTATTAACAAAAAAAAAAAAAAACATCTGATTCTTAGCAAACCAATCATGGGTTAGAATCGCGCTAGGTTGAGGGCATACTCACACTAGCACCTTTTTACTTAGTTCTGGACTGAGGGGATAGTACTCGCACCGGGACCTGATGACCTCAAATCCCAAGATTTGAGGAGGCAGTTTTCAGGTCACATTGGCGATCCCCGCTACCCGAATGTACTTTTTGGTAACCCTTTTGTCGGCAGCCTGCCGGGCCGCAGAAGGGCCCTTTTGACACCACCACCAAAGGTGGTCTAAAATTACATTTTCTATTTTTTCTTTCTCCGTGAGGTATTTCAAGAAATTTGTGCATTGAGCAACCTAGAGAATAGTAGAGATACACCACTGGTTTCCCGATCAGCATTGCACAAAGTCTGTTGATGTTTGTAGGGGAGGCGACCTGAAGGGAGGCACAGGGATTGGTCCTGTTGGCATGGTCCCTGATGCTACCTGCTATTGTGACGCTCAGGGGGTTCCAAAATTATGCGATCTCCTGATTGCATGCACGAAAGTTAGTTCACATGGCGGAGAAGGAAGAAGGGGGCGAAGGGATGAATGAGGAACCGAGCGTATCAGAACGAACAGGATTTTGTATCAGCACCAAATCGGGCCAGAATCCATGTTGACACCAACTTCAATTGCAGGACCTTCACGATTCTTGTTGGCTTGCAGATTCTCTACCACCCATCCCTGTCATGTGCAACCCCCTGCATCTTCGATTGGCGGTGGTCGTCCAGGTGACACCATTATGGCCCGCCGGATCTTGCTTGGTTTTGCTTCATCACTAGAAATACGCTCGGAGGTAGTCGACGAGGAGAGGGTGGTGGAGTGGTCTAAGCCATTTAGCTCGAAGGGGAGGAAAAAAATTGGATGCTTCGTCACTGAGATCGACAAAGTGGACGATCCGGTGCTCTCGAGGGAATCGATGATTGGGTCGAGAGAGGGAGAGGAGATAGTCGGGATAATCCGGAGGATATTATCGCATAGGGACTCGTAGTCCTCTACCGCGGGAAAAGTTCTGGAGACGATGCAATACAACTCCATATGGTTATATTGCCTCCAGGCGACACTGAAAAGAAGGACATTTAGAGGGAAGGAGGGGGAGCGGTGTGGAAAGACTGTGCACAGAAGTCGCACAGCAAAGTGGTGGCAGAAGAGCTGGTTGGGGAATATGCGATAGGTCGGGGGAACTCGATGTGGGGAAGAGGAGAAAAGGATAGATAATCAAGAGGGTAGCGGTAGATGGGACGAGGACGGAGCGCTCGCGCGGGGAGGAGGACGGAGACGAAGCGCGGAGGGAGTTGTGGAGGAGGGAGATGGTGAGTGAGAGCGGCGGTGCCGGCGGGAGGATTTTGTGCCATCGTGTCAGCTGGCAACGTCGGAGGGGACTTTGCGGTTCAGAGCAGATCGTCCTCGTGCAGCAGGTGGCACTCGGGACGGAGGAGCCTCCTGGGGACTGCTGATGCCTCCTCTTCTTCCTTCAATGTTGATCAGGCTTCCGACTCTCCGTCCGCCGACAGACCAGCGATGGCTATGCGACCTAAATCGTCGTCTGATGACACCTCTCCGTGTGCCCGATGAGCATTCCAGAACTCATTCAAATCGGAATTATTCGGCGCGAGCTCGTTCATGTGCAAATAGTATTAAACCGTGGGATAATGATTGTTCAAGTACTGACAAAAATCCTTTGTGCAATTTGCCCAAATTACTGTCGGCGTTAACGTTCTCTCTAAAGTGACAGTCTCGGTCTGGCTAGGATCGCTCGGATTGAAGGAGATGATGTTCGTTGGCAGATCGTCGGTGAGCTGAGACAAAAATGTGAGGATCTCATAGGCGACAGTTGCTCTGCCTCCTTCGGCGATCTCTCAACAAAGAAGACCAACCAAGGTGCCGCTGGTCTCCGTCTCCGCTGGCAACACTTGCACTAGCACCAGCGAGATCTCGTTATAGATCTCCAACTCCCGATTGTTGTAATATCGTGCCCAGTGGCACCTCACCGTTAGCATGCACACGCCGTCCTTTGGTGGAAGTGATCTGTCGACACGCCGATTGAACCCTATACCTCACGCCATGCCTGTCACCCACGGGAGGGTCGGTTGTGACTCCTATAATCTGCAAGAAAATTGTTAGTCCACATCCACATAAAGAAGACAGGAACCGACTATAGACACAACCACAAGTCTCTCATAGTCCGCCGTGTGGAAGAAACAAAAAGTATGGTTCCATTCAGTCCAAAATAATCGGGTTCACTTCGCTACTCCCAATCCCAGAAGTAGGTTCTGAGTCCAAATCGGAAAAATCAGTCTGAGTCCCGATTGACCTCACTAACAGTCTAGGGCGAATCCTCCTCCCGATCGGATGCCGCCGGTAACTGGCCCGCTGGTCCCATGGAATAGTGCTCGAACTCTCAGTGTCAGAGGTAGAATCGAGGGCCCATCGCGGCCACTGTTTTCGATCTAGTTTCACCATGGGTCGACCTTGCCGCCTGTCCCCCTCAGAAACTCAGCGATTATGTCCTACTCCCAGCCAACTGAGTCACCCTGTCCGTATCTCGTCTGAAATTTCCCCTCTCGTTGAGGCCCTCGTGGGTTCAGGTCTCGGCCTGTCTTACCCTAGTCCCAGCTCCGTCTAAGATATTCCCGCCCGGTTCGCAAGCCCTCGTCTGGCCCAACAATTATGGTCTCGGCCCAAACCCCTTGTCCAAAGTCACGGTCTCGTCCAGAGTCTCGGTCTGTTAAAGTATTGGTCTCATCAAATTTCCGGTCCTCATCTGCGATTCCTTGGTCACGTCTGAAGTTCCCGTGTGTGCCCAAAGTCCCAAGTCCCGCCTGAAAAAGATCCGTGTCCAGCACCTCGATCAGAACCAAAGTGTCATACTGTTCTCTATCATCCAGGCTCGAACTCCTAAAGTACCAGTCTGTTCCGCAAGCCCTGGTCTGATCCCAAAACCCGTCTCCTCGTCCTTGGTCCCGTTCTGGCCCGAAGTCTCAGTCCCGCTCAGAGGCCCCGTTCTGCGCTCAAAGATCCGGTCTCGTTGACGTCCCCACCCCGCCGATGTTCCCAGTCCCATCCAGAGTCTAAGTTCCATCAAAGTCCTGGATCACACCCCTTAGCCATGATTTGAGCCCAAAGGCTCTGCTTGCTGACTGTCCCGATTATGCCCAACCCTTTCCGTTGATTGTCTCGACTCGACGCCGATAGGATACGCCCGCGAGCGCGCACGTGCAACCACGTAAATCCCGATCCCAATCACGCACGTTCGTTCGCGTGTGCGCACGACTAGATTCCTACCACGCCCGCTCGTGCTCGTGTGGATCTCGATCCCGATAATCGCGCTCGTCCGTGCGCGTGTGCGAGCAGCCGCACGAGTTCCGACCCTGATCGCGCGCGCCTGTGCGTGTGTGTGTGGTGTCCCGGAGGTGCCCCGTGCGCGTGCGACCCGATTCCGATCGCGTGCGCCCCGTGCGCGTGTGCGCGCAACCGTGCGGATCTGATTCCGATCGTGCACGCCGGTGCGCTTGCGCGCGCAGCCACGAGGGTCCCAACCCCGATCGCACACGTTGGTGCGCTTGAGCGCACAACCGCGCGAGTTCCGATCCCGCTCGCACACGCCCGTGCGCATGTGCGTGGTGCCCGGAGGTTTTGATTCCGATCGCACATGCCCCGTGTGGATCTTGATTCCGATCGCGTGTGCCCGTGCGCTTGTGCGTGCACCCGTGCGGGTTCTGACCCCGATCACGCTCGTCCGCGCAAGCAGCCGCGAGGGTTCCGATCCCGCTCCCGCG